ATAAAAAATGCTTTCAAATGAGCTGATGTAGGGTAACAGATCTTAGCTTGCCAATAAAGCTAGGGATCCTTAACCTGTGTCAAACCCTGTGTTAAAAAAAAAAAAAACAAAAAAAAAAAAAAAAAAAAAAAAAAAAAAAAAAGAGGGAGAGAGGAGTGTGAGGTGTAGTCAGTCATCCAGGAATGGATGGATGGAGTGGGTTAAGGAGACTCTGAATTTCAAGAGGTTCCAGCAGGTTTTGTGTGTTAGGACGGGAGTCAGTGGCAGTAAGTGGTTTTAATGGACAGGCTGCCAATGGGTGTGAAATTGGCACCAGTCAGCAGGACTCATGTCTTGGAGGTGGGCAGTACATTGCCTGACTATAAAGGATGGGGTAAGATGGTTCAGTTTGGAAGGTCTCCTGAACTGTGAGTCAGCAGGCTTCTGGCAAGACAATGATTCAATGAACGATTGTCAATTTTTCCTCTTTTGGGTCACACTATCAGTAAGAGGGATAGCAGTGTTAACCCTTAAAACTGTCCCAAGCAGACATATGTTGTTCACATGTGTAGTGCTCCAAAAGTAGTTTTCTTTTTTTTTTTTTATCATTTTCAATTTAACAACAAAAAAAAAACACGAGATCAAAGTTTTTTTTACAGTTTTTAATGTAATAAAAGAAAAGATATACTTTTTTTACATACTTTCAAATGCCGAAAAACATAGATTACATTTGGACAGTGTCTTAAGGGTTTTATTTATTTATTTATTTATTTATGTATTTATTTTTTTATTTATATTGACGTATGTATATTAATATTTATAAAAAGACCCATACCTCTATAAAACAAGCCTCTGGCCCTAAAAAACTAACAAGATGACGCTAGAGACTGAACAGTCCCTGGCTAACACCCAGCATTCAAATCATAAATACAAAACACCAATATGAAAAACGCAGTAAGAATGGGTCACATAACAGAGGAACCAAACAAAACGTTACTGCAATCCTAACCAGCCTGTAAGAAGGGCAAAAAATTGTATTATGAGAAAAAGATTATCCAACTACGAGCGGGATATAAAAAGACCTGGAAAACCCTATCAGAAATTCTGGGAACAAATAAGAGATCTACGAAATTAGCAAAATAAATTTAGCAAATTCAGATGTACCTCACCTCCCACCAACAAAGAATCAGCAAACAGATCAATGTTTTTCTTCTCCACTTTAGGACAAAAACCTTGCCAATAAAATCCAAGCTCAGATACCCCACAATGACTACCTCAACGGCAACTCCCGATCACACGGTTCCTAGCTCTGACTAACCCATTCGAGTCTCCTTATTATCAAAGCACTAAAAAACATGGCAGTGGAGATTTTAAATACCTTACCACCCTTTAGATACAAAAAAAAGTGTTCACAAGTGCTATCACCCAATCATTGCAACACTCTTTAACAAATCCATTGAATCTCCACCTTCCCTACAGTAATCAAAAATAGCAGGGGTCACCCGATTCACAAAGGAGGAGACCTAACAGTGTTTGAAATTACTTTAGGCCAATATTCCAACTTTCTCCTCTCTCAAAAATCTTCGAAAATTAATTCTTAACGAATCTATCCTAACCTTTTTAATCTCCAAAACTACTCACCCTTGCAAATTTGGATTAGGCCTATTAAAATACTAATGATGCTATTATACACATTGCTAGAACATATAATACATGCAATAGAGAAAAAAAGAAGTCCCAATGGGGAATCTTCATTGACATAAGTAAAGCTTTTTGATACAGTTGACCATGAAGTGCTCAGTAAAATTGGCACACTATGGTTTAAGAGGGCCACTCCTCAAGTCATTCCTCAGCACAGAAGTCAATATGTGTATGCAAATGGGGACAAAACTTTTCTTGCACAACCAGTTCAGTTGGGGTTCCCAACAGGGAAGTGTTCTTGGCCCTCTTCTTTTCTCCTATTACATCAAATGACTTACAAATGCCGCAATTACTCTAACCCACACTATTTGCAGATGACACTACTACGTCTTCTCCTACCGAGCCCAGTCACGCTTAGCCAATACTGTAAAAAATACTGAATTACAGAAAATAACTACCTGGATGAGGAACTAACCAAAATTACAAAACTAAACATTGACAAACCTACTCATTCCTGTTTGGTAACAGAGCTACAGATGTCCCTCTTAACATTATGATAATTGGACACCTATCACAAAGCTTAAGGAGGGAAAATTCTTAGGAATCCACCTTTGATAATACTCAAATTTCATACACATATAACAACAAATTTCTAAGAAAAATTTCCAAGACTGTAGGCATACTATCGAAGATGCGGTATTATGTCCACAGTCAGCCTCCTGGCCCTATATCACTCTCTTATTTACACCTATCTACCTATGGTATTTGTGCATGGGGCTCAACAACATTTACACCATTCAGACAACTAATTTTCCCAACAAAGGCTGCAGTTAGAAAATGATAAATTTCTCACTACAGGCAGCACACTACATCCAATATTCAATATGCTAAACCTACTCACCATACAAAACATCCTTACTTTTTTCTGCACTATTACAAACATAGAACACTTAACTCAGATATTAACCCTTTCCCCTCAAACATCTCCATTTGGGCCAACCTCAACAGAACACATGTCCATAACACAAGGCACAGATCACTCTTTGATGTTCCTCGTGTCCATCTCACATATGCCAAAATCATGCACATAAAAAGGACTCTAAAATCTGGAATTCATTACCTGGAAATATAAAGAAACATACCTGTTTTAAATTCAAGTCTCTCTCAAAAGATCACTTACTCACTCAAAACCAATAAATATGAATTTAAATAACTGACCTTATAAATTGTATATCTAAAGTTTCCACAATTAGTTCACTTAAATGTTAAACCTAAAACCCATCTAACTTTTTATTATTTTTTAATTTACACTACCTAACAGATACTCAATATGACTGGAATGTACAACAATGCATTGCAACCATATGTCCAGTCTTTGTAATACTCACTTGTGCTTATATAGTTAATCTGTTTACATTAATGTTTTATCACTGATTTCATCTTTGCTATTTAATCTTAAGTTAATTTTAAGCAGCCCGTAATGGCTATGCTTAGTATAAGTGGCTTTGGCATGCTGCTCTTATCTGTAATTTTTTTGTACTCTGTATGTGTGCTCAAAATTTAAATAAATAATTAAATAAATAAATAAAATAAAATTAATAATGTTTAAATGTGATATCTTCCTCCAAGGCTAAAATCTTTCTAAAACCCAAAATATGTTCAGGTCTGAAGATCACATGTAAAAATGTCTGCATTACAAAAAACTATGTGCAGTTCAAGTAACGACATCCTTCATGTAGTTAGTAATTAATATATGCCTATTCTTCCTAAGCTGAAGTAAATTCTACCCAGATTTTTAATTTATCCTCTAAGTTTTTTCAATACATTATCAGAAAAAAAAAACGCTGCTTAGGGGTCTTGTGTGTGTATAAAACAAAATTTAGACATTCACACTGGGTTGAGGTTACTAGTCCATTCACTTCAGAACACACTGCTACAAACTTGACATCAATACAAAACTATTTAGTTCAACACAATTTAAAATTGTGCAAAACATGCCAGGCATTTTTTTTAAATCATTTTGCTTGAGTTGCACATATGGCCAGTTCACAAATTCAAACATGAGTTTTTGCCAAAACTGATTGACAAAATTGCGCCAATAACAATACCACGGGATATTCATCAGGTGAGATCTGTGGGCCAATAACATGCACACTCTTGGGTCACAGTATATCTATGAACTGATTTTTGGCTTTAGCTGTAATAAGTATCGGCTAACTGCCTGCTCGTTCTACATAAGTACTTTCCATTAATTTACTGTAGCATTAATAACAGTAAGCTAGATACAGTAACTGTAATTAAACTGTCCAAATGCTATATTTGAAACTAGGTGTGTTAATGATTTATTATAATTTTGGTTATAACTGGATTCGAACTCTAAGGGAAATCTAAGTTGATTATATACAAGTGTACGCTTCACTACACGTGTGGTTTAATTTATATGTATACACACTAATTACATGGCAAGTATGTGTTAAGACAAATTGTCTACTATTTTGAAATATAATAATCAAAACAATCAAAAATGAATGATTACTGCAAATTCTGCAGTAATCATTCATTATTGGTAGTTTTTTCTTAAGAATACTTGTACTTTTAGCTATACCACCACCCAGTTGTATTTAAATATTGTAAACCATAACCTGCTATTAAACTAATTAGACAAGAAACTCAATGGAATAAAAGAAAAACCAGTAGAAGGGCAAGACAAAATACCTTAGGGAAATAGATAATTAAAAAAAAAAAGTAAAGTGATGTAGCTTCTTAAACACACAATGAGCCAAATTCTTAAACAAAATTTATGTAAGAACAGCATTTAGTGTTATTTGCAGTTTCTAAGTTTGCTGGGACCTTAGGATGATAACCCCTGAAAACATAACCCATACAAATTTTGAAAGGAGCAAGATATAAGGGTTTCCAAGCATGGTAAACACCATGAAAGCATAATGCGGTAGTCTCCTGCACCAACAGACACCTGGACAGACAGGACCCAGCCATTTGCAACCTCAAGAATGATAAATGTCATGTATTACCATGGAAAGGAGTTTATCTCCCAGGGGTGATTAGCAGGAGAGGAATCAGTTAGGGAACACAGATGGAAACTTAATATTGCAACCAAATGACTCGGACATTAGTAAACACTTCACATGTGAGGAATATTAAAGAGCGAATGTAACAATGCAGAAAAAAAACTCATAATTGAGAAATGAAATTGTACATTAGTTCCAGATTAAGTCAGCCAACAGAAATTAAGAAAGGAGTCCAAGAGGATGAATCACAAATACGAAACTAACTAGGTCTGTATATGCCAATACTCGTTGTAATTTAATCTCTCATTTTCACTTGCAGCCCTGATTTAATGTGCTTACTCAAACACACACTAATTTGCTTTTACTTTCTAGCCTAAAAGCACAGGCTGGAAGAAAGACATGCAAACGTACATCTCCAACCCTTCGCCGTGCCCGAGCCAAGCTGCTCACAGAGTGGTGGAGAGGTTGGCTATTCTCCTCCCTGGCGGACTCTGTCTCATCAGAGCGTCTGTAGCCCAGAACCATGGTGTGGCAGCCTCCACAAGCAACCTAGGCATCCATATAGAAAATCAATAGCACATACAGCCTCTGTAGTCACAGCAAACCAATAAGATGTCAGAAAAGCACTGCTGTCTGAGTAATTAAATAATTAGAATACACAGTACAAACTGCCATGAGTCTACAAGTTTGAAAATATAAAATAACCATGATTTCCAGAACAAGATTATCTTTTTTTTACTCAATGTAATTCAATATATATATTAAATAAAATAACTTATTGTACTTGATTACAATGCCAGACAGAAAAAACTAACATCCGACATTTCAGACTAGTTCACAACTGATTTAACTATTTAGACTTTCAAACAATAAAAAAAAAAAATATGAAAGATAAGGCAAAATTCATAAATAAAAGTAAAAGGTCTTAAAAATGCCAATTAATGACACAGTAAACCCTCAATATAACAATATAATAGGGGGCATTCGCTATATCAGAATAATAGCAATAAAATGCACTACAGCACTCTACTGTATACCTAATACAGTAAATAACACAATTTACACATACAGCAGGGCCCCACTTATATGGCAGGTTAGGTTCCAGGCTACCACCGTAAAGCGGAAATCGCCGTAAAGTGTAACACCCTTTTTTCCACTTATAAATGCATATAAATACAGTGGTCCCTCGGTTATCGGCCATAATCCATTCTAGAAGGTTGGCCAAAAACTGAAACGGCCAAAAATCAAAATACTACTTCCCATAAGAATTAATGTAAATACAATTAATCTGTTCCAGACAAAAACATTCACAAAAAAAAATAATTTTTTTAACAATTATATAAATATTACATACCTTTATTGAAGGTGAATGCTGGCTTCTGGAAGATAGGGAGGAGGACAGAGGGAGGAGTTAGTGTTTGGAAGAGGAATCCCCCTCCATAAAGACTATAGGTTACAAAGCCTTCTCTGGGGTTACTTCCCATCTTTGTCTTCAATGGCCACTAGACCTGCTTGAGTCAACTGGACCCTGTCTCACACAATAAACTGTTCCCAGAGTGATTCTGTTTCTGGCATCTCAAGATTTCCCTTGAAGTGGGACAGGGTTTTTGTCGCTTAACATGTTGCAAGTTAGCTTGTTTCAGCTTTGTCAGGGTTGGTATTCGATAAAACTTTGCACATCATTCCATTGGCACAAATATTTTAATCAATGAAGAAGGCACCTCCATCTCTCCCTCTTCCTCTTCTCTGACTGAAGCAAGTTCCTCAGCTGCAGTCTGTTGCTGTTCAAGATGAAGCTCTTGCAGCTCTTCATTGGTTACCTCTTCCTGTGGTCCTCCACCAACTCTTCCAAATTCCTCGCCACTCACTTCCAACCCCAGGGACTTCCCAAGTGCCACAATGAGTCACAGGTTGGCAGGGTCAGGGTCAGGGTCAGCTCAAAACCTTCAAATTCCCTCTCTTGGACCAAATATGGCCACAGGTTTTCTCCAAGCAGAGTCAAAGTCCTGGAAGTCACTCCTTCCCAGCCTTAACTATAAGGCTTATGCAATGGAGGATTGGATTGTGAAGTGATTCATCAGAACTCTCTTGGGGTCACCGAGTGTCTGCGGTCACTTCAAAGCACTTTTGAAACACTGCTTTGTGTAGAGTTTTTTGAAGCTAGAAATGTCCTGCTGGTCCATGGGCTGGAGGAGAGGAGTGGTGTTAGGAGGCAAGAACTTCACTTTTATGAAACTGAAGTCCCTAAACACTTGGTCTTCCAAGTCTGAAGGATGTGCAGGAGCACTGTCCATTACCAGGAGGTACTTGAGTGGCAATTTCTTTTCCAGGAGGTATTTTTTCACATTTGGGCCAAACACATCATTAACCCACTCTTTGAAAATTTGCCTTATGATTAGCTTTCCACATCACACACAATCTATTCTTCATGACGTTTTTCTTGAACACTCGGATTTTCCGAGTGATACACGAGTAAAGGCTTCACTTTTAAATCCTCACTAGCATTACCACACAACAAAAGAGTAAGCCTGTCTTTCATAGGCTTGTGTCTTGGCAGTGTCTTTTCCTCCTGGGTAATGTAGGCCCTGTTTGGCATTTTCTTCCAAAAAAGGCCTGTTTCATCACAATTCAACACTTGCTGGGGTTTGAATCCTTCAGCACGAATTTTTCAGCATCACATTGTCAGAACTTGCAGCCTCACCGTGCCTTACAACACTGTGTATGCCACTATGCTTCTTAAATCTATCAAACCATCCTTTGCTGACCCTAAATTCACAAACTGCAGCACTTGCTCCAGGCATTTTCTTTGCAAGATCCTCATGCAACTGCCTTGCCTTCTCACAAATAATCGACTTCATTAAATCTTTTTCCTTAATCCACAATAATGATAACTTTTCCATCTCTTCCATTATTGGTGGCCTTTGTTTAGTTAGAAAAGTTACTCCTTTTGCAACATTAGCATCCTTGATTTGTTCCTTTGCCAGGATAGATGTAATTGTTGATTTATTCTTCCTGTACATCCTGGCAAGTTCCACCACCCTCATACCACTCTCAAACTTTTCTATCACTTCACACTTAAATTCCATGGTGTTTCTCACTTTCTTTACCACAGAAACTTTCTTTGGAGCCATGGTTTCTTATTTCACAGTTGCACTGCAAAAATAACACAAACTACAATGGGAAATAAGCGAAATGTTTGGATGTACGAGCAGAAGCTTCCTCAGCCACTAAGAGAGACAGCCAAACTGACACGTAAGCGGCCCCAGCCGGCAGATGGATGCATCCCAAACAGCCAATCACCGAATTAACGGCCAATAACCGGGCACCAAAAAACTAGCCGATCATCGAGTTGGCCCATTACAGAACTGGTTGATAACCGGGATCCACTGTACTAGATAAGTTTACACTAACACATTAAATTAGCAATAGAGCTAGGCATTAAAAAAACAATAAAAAAGTAAAATACACACATAGTACACTCATTACTTACCTTAAAATATTTGTAGTCTTAATCTAAGGTGAGATGAGCAGTATTTATTGTAAGAAATTAAGTGTGGTATGTATGTATGTATAGTAGGCTGGTAGACAGCAACCACCCAGGGAGGTACTACCGTCCTGCCAAGTGATATAGTGTTGGAGTGGTTGGTACTTTTGTTTAATAAATGTATGAAAGAGGGGAAGGTACCTAGGGATTGGAAGAGAGCATGTATAGTCCCTTTATATAAAGGGAAAGGGGACAAAAGAGATTGTAAAAATTATAGAGGAATAAGTTTATTTGAGTAAAACAGGGAAAAAGTGTACGGTAGGGTTTTATATTGAAAGAATTAGAGGTAAGACAATGTAGGTTGCGGATGAGCAAGGAGGTTTCAGGTGGGTAGGGGATGTGTAGATCAAGTGTTTTACATTAAAGCATTTGTAAACCCATATTTAGATAAAGGTGGGGAAAGTTTTTATTGCTTTTATGGATTTAGAAAAGGCATATGATAAGAGTGGATAGGGGAGCATGTGGCAGATGTTGCAAGTATATGGAATAGATGGTAAGTTACTAAATGCCTGTAAAGAGTTTTTATGGGATAGTGAGGCCCCAGGTTAGGGTGTGTAAAAAAGAAGTAGACTACTTCCCGGTTAAAAGTAGGTCTTAGACAGGGATGTGAATGTCCCATGGTTGTTTAATATATTTTGATGGGGTTGTAAAAAGAAGTAAATGCTAGGGTGTTGGGGGAGAGGGGTGGGATTTAATTATGGGGAATCAAATTCAAAAGGGGGAATTAACACATTTACTTTTTGCTGATGATACTGTGCTTATGGGAGATTCTAAAGAAAAAATTGCAAAGGTTAGTGGATGAGTTTGGGAATGTGTGTAAAGGTAAGAAAGTTGAAAGTGAACATAGAAAAGAGAAAGGGTTTGATGAGGGTATCAATGATTTTAGATAAAGAAAAATTGGATATCAAATTGGGGAGGAGGAGTATGGAAGAAGTGAATGTTTTCAGATACTTGGGAGTTGACGTGTCGGCGATGGATTTTGAAGGATGAGGTTAATCATAAAAACTGGTGAGGGAAAAAAGGTGAGTGGTGCATTGGGGTTTATATGTGGAGTAAAAAACGTTATCTATGGAGGCAAAGAAGGGAATGTATGAAAGTATAGTATTTACCAAACTCTTATATGGGTGTAAAGCTTGGGTGGTAAATGCAGCAGCGAGGAGACGGTTGGAGGCTGTGGAGATGTCCTGTCAAAAGGGCAAGGGTGGGGTTTGTAAATATTATGCAAAAAATTCGGAGTGTAAAAATTTTAGGAAAGGTGTGGAGTTAATAAAGTATTAGTCAGGGCAGAAAGGGGTTGTTGAGGTGGTTTGGTCATTTAGAGAGAATGGATCAAAGTAGAATGACATGGAAAGCATATAAATCTATAGGGGGAAGGAAGGCGAGGTAGGGGTCACCCTCGAAAGGGTTGGGAGAGGGGGTTAAAGGAGGTTTTGTGGGCAAGGGGCTTGGACTTCCAGCAAGCGTGCGTGAGCATGTTAGATAGGAGTGAATGGAGATAAATGGTACTTGGGACCTGACGATCTGTTGGAGTGGGGAGCAGGGTAATATTTAGTGAAGGGATTCAGGGAAAAACCGGATATTTTCATATAGTCGGGCTTGAGTCCTGGAAATGGGAAGTACAATGCCTGCACTTTAAAGGAGGGGTTTGGGATATTGGCAGTTTGGAGGGATATGTTGTGTATCTTTATACGTATATGCTTCTAAACTGTTGTATTCTGAGCACCTCTGCAAAAACAGTGATTATGTGTGAGTGTGGTGAAAGTGTTGAATGATGATGAAAGCATTTTCTTTTTGGGATTTTCTTTCTTTTTGGGTCACCCTGCCTCGGTGGGAGACGGCCGACTTATTGAAAAAAAAAAAAAATGTATGGTAGCCAGCCAGGCTACCCTACCAGGCCACCCCACCCACACACAATACTCTATGACATTTAAGCATCCCAGAGTGATAAAATGCATATACAGTTCACTCATTACTTACCTTAAAATATTTGTAATCTTGATGTAGG